GCAGCACCTGTCCTTCCCGGCAGCTGCTTGGTACGGCGCCGCATGCAGCACGGAGCTGTACGTGCCGGGCGATTCGTGTGTGACTGGGGCCTTAGATCTCTCTCGCTGGGGGATCTGCCACATGCAGAGATAGTCGCGGTCTCTGACGTCATCCCCGTGCGCTCCAATGTAAAGTCCGGGGACTTGAAGTAGGTTCTAATGCCTGTATTAGGCACCTGCGGCGGGCGAGAGGCTCCGGTCGTCTTGGCTGTCTTGGATGTCCTCGGAGCTCTGTTACGCACCATTTTGCGGTGCTCCAACTCAGGGCTCCTACATGGTCCCATGGGAACAGCAACAGCAGCACTGGGTAGGGATAGCTGCGATCGAGTTCGACCTCTAGCTCAACATCCGGACACGCCCCCCTGAACTTTTTTCAGACCTTGCCAGAAACCTGCCTGTCTTTAAACAGTTGTGGGACCCCTGAAAGCCCTAGTGGTGGCAGGAGGTGTCATTGAGTCTCAGACCCTTTCATTGCTATTTCCACTGCACCCTGAATGGTTCTGCCTTTTGACTATTACTGCTGATTTTCAAAGAAAGATCTTTTTTTTTTGCTTTAAAAACCAAACATTCACCACAAACGGTGATCTCCATGCATGAAAAAGAACGCGAGCATAATGAAAGGAATTGGGCAAATACTGATAATAATGCTTTAAATGTCTACTAATCCACTGTCATTTTGTGTTCCCGACATGTAGTTTTCATTGTTTGTATCTTCTATCAAGTCACAAATAAAAAAAATAAAATTCAACACTCATCATTTAGGCAGACATCTTTTATGTGGAAACTTTAACAAACTCCAGAGCATCATTTTTGGCTACAACCTGGTAGGGAGTAAAAAGCAGCACGCCAGCCCTGCTGACAGGAGGAAAATAAGAACATTTATTATGTTGTTTCTGGCTAAACCTATGCAAAGTATATGAGCTACATGCTAAAGTCTAGCTGGAATTGTTTGCCAAATGTATATTGCAGTAGCACAATTTGGAAAACAACTTCGATAAAAAAGCTTATTATATGCATTGAAGCAGTATATATTAACCATTACAGTCTGAACAAGAATTTAGTTCACACAAAAAACCCTTGGAGGTCTATTTATATATGTTTTCGCACAACTTTCAGACATTTTTCTAATCAACTTCAATTAGAAAAATGTATAAATCATTTTTTGAACGTTGTGTGAATCTTGTGTGAAAACATTTATAAACAGACCCCTGGGACTTTTTCAATAATTGCTTATGTATAGCAGTCTTTAAAGGACAACTATGGGGTTAAGGCTTTTCCCCATAGTTCTCCTTAGGGTAACGGGAGGACACAAACTAGCGTCCTCCCGTCACCCTAGGCTCAGTATACCGCGAGCTGTAGCACTCACTAAAAAGCACTCACCTCATAGTTCTCCTTTAAGCCAATTATATGACAGAAAGGGGGGAGGGGAGTATAGAGTGCTGTGTAAAAGGAATTTATAAACTCGTTTTGCTTCCATTTAGACATTGATTTTGCAGCCCCTGTAACCAAAGCTGATGGCTTTTTTTTCTAATATACATATTTTATCTGGATCATTAGTGGGTAGTATTTAGAAGCGGTAATTATGAATTAAAGTAGGTTTAAAAAAAAATAAAAGTTGTGTATTTACTTCTTCCAAACATTTTTACTAGGGACTTTTCGAGTACCAATGCCGATACTTGGCATTTTCATGAGAACTACCAGGGTTGCAGGGGTTGCAGCTGGGACCTAGCTCTGGCGCTTCCACCACTATCGGCAATGGTATCAGAAAAGTATCGGTGCATCTCTACCTTAATAGAAGTCACCAGCACTCGATGATATGTGCAAGAACTTTTTATTTAATTGTCACATGCGTCATACAGCCAAACAAAAAACAAGCACCAACCTTTCAACATTGTCTGTACGCTGTATGGAGTGCAGGTGATTTTTTATTATCAAACATGGAAAACAAACGCGTGAACCCGACGCGCAATCCTGCAATGCTCATGTCTGAATGGGGTCTAAGGTGGTATAGGTAAACATGTGAAAAGGGACTCTTTTGCTCAACTTTAAATGGTAGCTGGGTTGATTGTTGGACATTGTACTTTATATATGGACAATGTTGTCTAACTTTGATTGTCTTGTATGTGGATGACTATTCAAATAAAGAATACCTGTGGATCTCGATCCCTTATGGTTTATATTAATCTATATATGTCTCCAGTCAGATACTTATACTTACACCTTGCCAGTATCTTATTTGTATGGTAAGCTTTAAAAATTTTGAGGGGGTCTATTTATCAATATTTTCACCCAATATTCATAGAACTTCCATCCAAGAATCTCACTTTTCATGTAAGATCTAATAAGAAAAATGTGTGCATCTTGTGTAAACGTTGTGTGAATCTTGTGACCTATTGCGAAAAAAGGATATGGGTTATGCATTTAATATTATGTATAATAATAAATAGGTGCAAAGTAAGGAAAACTATACCAACCATTCAGAAGTCATCTCTTAAGTGATATAATAGCAGTTTATTGCAATCTGGAACACAGCATGTTTCTACTGTAGTGAATAATGCTAAAAGATTTTACAAATGTTTTGGATGGACTTCCACATTTACCTTAAAAAAAGTTAATCATTTTGGGTGGACTATGAAAGAGTTAACACATTCTATTTGAAGAACAGATACTACTAGATACAATTCAAAAACTAGCCACAGACTTTTTCTCCCATTTGACTTAAGATGTCTATACTTTCTTCCAAAATATACTGCAAAATTAGAATGTAATAGAATATGTAGCGGAACATCAACCACAAGTATTTTAAGAAAAGTAAAGTGTAACACTCATGTTTCTGGGGATTAAGGCCCCGAATGAAAGAGTAAATGAGCAATAATGAACCTTTCATATATGCTCACAAATGTTACATTCAGGCATTATTAATGACTTGTGTGGTTAGCCTCAAATACTATGCTGTATTTGTTTTTCATTAAAATATGTGTGTTTGTGGAATTCATTCAGTTGTATCTAACTCTTCTTGGCCAGCTCTCTGGGCACCACGTCTGCTATGCTTGACAGCGTTTTCCATACAATTTTCTTATTGAGTTTTTGGAGGTAGGCTGCCAGGTCTTTCCTCATCCCTCTCCATTTACACAGAGATGCATGGGAGTGGCATTAAGAATGTGAAAACACATGTGCATAACCAACTTGTTAATTAACCTACTAGCATGTTTTTGGAATGTGGGAGGAAACCAGTGTCTACTCCTGCTTGGGGTAGATGCCTATCCATTTATGGACACTGGTCAATACAGTTATATTTAAACCTGAGTCCACAGTAATCAACCAATAAAGCATTTTATAAGCCCTGATGAAGGAGGGGGGAGGGGCTCAGTTGACCCCCTAAACTTGCTGGCTTTTTATCAACAAATAATCCCTTTTAACTCTACAAAGTATGCTGGCGCTCCCTCTGTTTGAATACAACACACATCAGGGTAGGTTCCTTATGCATGATGTTTAGCAAGAAATGTCTTAAGAGAATCTAGCTGTGTATTGCTAGCTTTAGAACTGATAGTACTAAATATCACTGTTCTCACATCTGAGCTGTTTTAGGATGTCCAGCCACCGCTGTGCACAAAGTTTGCTGAAATAATTTGGACGTTTGATAAGCGTTTTGAGATTTTATCCAAGTATTATATTTCCAGCAATTATCCTCCTTAATTGTGTATTTATGCAAGAAGAGTGGCCAAATCCCAGAAATCCAATTATTAGTGCATGTTCAGCATCACAGCAAATTAGATAATGTGTCTGGGCAACACTAGACTTTTGTCCCTCATAAATATGTTTGTAAAAAGTGCAGGTTAATCTAATAAACAAATTATGGGAGTTTATAAAATGGCAAGAAAGAAAAAGCAATACAACACAACACATTATAAGCACACAATAGATTAATGCACAGACAACAACATATAGATGCATATGAAAACATTATCCTTTCTTACTACTTTACCTTTCAACAAAATGCAATGCTTCAATAAAGGAGAGGGATGGATGCTTTGGGCCAGTAGTTCATTAGACTGCAGCTTTAGCTACATGTTTAAAATCATTTTAGAATTTTAGAAAATAAGGAAATGTCAGTCAAAATATCCCCCCAGCTTTACTCCCACAGTGAACACATGCTGGGTTTACCGCCGACAATATCAGTTGAGCTGGCCCACTATAAAATAGTCTTGTAATTATGTTCAGCTAGTCTTGTGACCCAAGCAAGCATTTACGGCGAGGCATACTTAAGATATTTATATGAGTGACATTTAAGCACAAATGAAATCCATACAGTCAACATTAGAGCCAAACAACTAGCATTTTCTGAAGAAGATAAAAAAATGTCAGACCCTGTATTTCCCAAGTGTTAAGTGGCCCCTTTACAAAGGATTTACTTATGTTATCCTCAGCATTACTTTTATTTATTTTGTGCAGGTACACCTAGTATATGAATTTAACCCTTTGTTATAGATTAGGGTTTGGATTAATTGTATTTATTATAATGTGCACACTATAAATTCTACATTTGAATGTTATCTTTCCCATTCTTTGACTAGATTCTGATATGCAATTACAAGAGCTTTATATGTCAATAGTGTCTTATGCGATTACAGGAGCTTTATATGTCAATAGTGTCTAGTAATCATATACGTCTGGTGATATTTTTGTGAAATCTGTAATTTTTTTCAAGCCACTAGATGTGAGCAATGCTTGTAATAAACCTTTAAAATATGAATGTTCCTTTAAATTGGGAGTGTAGCATCTATCAGTGAGAGAGCTGGTGGCTTTCTTTTTATGTCAGCGTACAGCAGCTAGTCTTCATGATAACATGTTTCCTTAGCATCTAGCAACAGCAGTGCTAGCACATGCCAACAGCTGCTCATAGCAAACCCTCAGCCGTGCATTTTCTCATTTTGTCTCTTTTATTTCCTTTTCTTTCAAAGGAAAAAAGAAAACGACAGGCTGCAATTGAGGACAAAAGACAACAGCTAGAAGACCAAATTCTCCAACTGCAGCACCTAAAGGTAAGAAGTAGCAGCAGTGAGGATGCATTTCCTCTCATCATCCATATTAAACATGTAGGTAATATGTGTTTCTAATGCAGCATCACACAGTGCATTCCACACAGTGGAGGAAGCTGCTGGTTTCATCTGGAAATTCCGGCTTTTTCTAACAGCAATTGTATATCTAATGCTAAATTACTGTGAGACATCATATATACTATAAAATGATATATATTGTTTGTGTTTGCTGAATGCATCCTTTGCATGCTGTGCATACATAAGCGACAGTTTCATGCTTATACATAGTATCAGTCATTAATATCACTGCATTTTTTAGTTGTGTTTTTCACTGTGTTGGGTCCCTCGCCCCTTGTAAGACATATTTGTTAAAGAAACATTATATTTTACTATGAAAGGGCTAGAAACTAGCTTCGTTTTTCTGCTCCAAGACACAAATCTGTCATTTTCTGGGAGGCCTTGGAGGCTAGTATAAGTCTGTTGTCAAAGCACAGGAATGCTACTTAGAGATACAGAATGATCTGTTGATATAAAATGCCACTTTGTAGCAGGATCAGTGATGAAACCATGTAGAGCACCATTACTTTTTCTGTATTTTATGTCTGTTTGTAAATATCCATGTAAATTATTTGATTAAGATCATAGGGAACTGGTAACCCTTAAAATGAGAAAATATATATTTGTTCTGTAATAGCTGCTGCTATGTTGTAGTGTAGCCCATGGATTAGGCGTGGCAACAGGCAATAATGATTTAGAGCAAGCTGGCTCACTGATAAGAAATCTGGCCATATCTTTGTGGGTTGGAAGCGCTAGTATATTTGGCCCATGTCAGAGGAAACATGGCAAAGTGAATGAAATCATAGTACCTTCTAACAATGAAAACATGAATATGCGTATATTGCAAAATCACTATGGCCAAACTAATAAATGCTTCGGGTTATTCATACTTGAACACGTGCAAACGTTAGAGTTTTTAATTAGTAAAAATGTATCATGTTGAACATGTTTTTTAAAATCTGAATTGCCAGATAAACCAAGTTCAAGTATCACTCCAGCCAAAAATATTTCTAAAGGTTTGGGTAAATTGTAAAACAGAACCTCTTTCAGGTTTCTATTGATGTCTCCATTGGGGACATTTTGCTTATTTCCTGTCCTAGTAACATGACAGAAAGCGACTGGAAATCTGTCCATGGTGAGGAGATATCCACCTTTGACCATATGAACACTATCACTGAAACAGACGGTATCCCTGGTTAAAAATAACCCCCCCCCCCCCCCCCTGATCATGTTCTATTGGCAGACTAAAAATTGGGAATTCTCTTCATATTCCGACAATCACCATGACCAATATAGTAGGTCTCCCGAACAGACACACAAGCTATGATAAAAACCTGACAGGTTACAACTTTACTCCATAAAAGAAAAAAGATAGCTTTAGTTCTATCACAAAAGTGCATATCTGTCTCTTGCATTCACTGCTGCCATTTTTAATTCTATGCAACGTTTCTGTATTATCTTATTGTTCAGTGGGTTGTTCTTCAAGAATACGTTCATCCGGAAACTATTGCAAATTGTAGGGATGACACAATGACGTTAGTAGTTAGAGATTGTGCACTACAACTCCATGTTTAATTGGAGCTTCCTGAAAAAAACTAAACAGCACATCTTGAGCAGGAGCTTTTTACACAGCAGTTAGCTGTAGCTATATTAATGACCTAGTCTAATAATGAGCTGTGTTTTCTCACTTTGATTATATAACCATTTTAATTACTGTACTTAAGGTGAATATAACAGCACCAGCACAGATGAAGCAAACCTTGCTAGGCATAACATTCTGACTACCTGGCATAAGTGCTAGATCACGACAGCCATAAAAAAAAGGAGAGGGATGCAACTACTAAGATGAATCCATGGTGTTATGATGGCATACAAAGAACATTTGTTAGTGCTCAAGTTAAACATGAAGCATTGGGGAAGAGCACTGTTCCCAATATATATCTAATTGCAGATGTTGCCAAGCATTCCTGTTTGTTGTTCAGCTGCCAGGAAATGGTTTGAAGTTCAGTTGTTTTGTTCTAATTTGTTTACTCCTGTGTGTGTGGATTAACACCCTACATACAAGAAGTTCTTATGAATTGTTAATAGAAAGTGACCCAATCAATATTTTAATAAGGAATGTGATTTAGACTTGTGAACTCTTCTTCATAAACCTCAGCTTCAGCAAAAAGAGACTTCAGCAGAAAAGAAAAAGCAGAGCTAGTTAATATAAATGAATTATGTCATAGCTGTAGGGTATGGCTTTGAAAAAAAATACTAACAAGCTTGTAGAACAGAACAAAAATAATTTTTTGAATAATACCCTCTAAGAGTATGTTTTTGTTTCATGTGTTCTTACAGAAATATTACAAAAACCGTGTGCAATATATTGTTAGTAACTAGAACACCTGCTAGTGGCATTGTGGTCCATGGACCTGAAGGGTACAGTTTCAGTATTCACCAGCGGGTGTCTGCCAGCAGTCAGCATGTCCCAGGAATTAGTCTACACTAGAAGCTAACTGCTAGGAGTGTCACTAGCTCCACCTCTCTCACAATGGCTCAGTATTTTACCTCTGTGCCTGTTTACCTTGATCCTCTGCTCCTTGATCCTGATACCCTGAACCTGCTTCCTGTACCTGTTGCCTGTAAACTTGCTGCACGTTCCAACCCTCATCCCTGACCTGTCTTGTTCTCTGTTCATTCTCCGCCTGACCCTGCTATACCTGACTTCGCTTTCTACCCTGTACGTGTGTTTATATACGTGTGTATTTATGTTTTATGTCACCTGTGTTCATAATTGTTTTCCTTCACTTAGATTTGAGTCTGATTTTCTCTGTGTAGCTCCACATAGTCACACTAGCACTGCAGGATACCGGCACATAATGTCCATATACTGTATATGCTGACTTTGCAGGTAAAATCGAAAGGCATTTATATAATATCCTTCACTATGAAAATTATTGGACACAATGGCCAATTGTTTGTAAAAATGATTGATTGTAATTGATCTTTGCTTAAATTGTTAATGTAGGGCAAAGTGGTGGGATATCATAATAACACACTTCCCTGCTGATACTCACCTTCATCACTTTCCCTCACTGCTCACTTGACCTGTTACAGCCTTTGGAAGCCTAAGTAATAGAATGTGGAGGGGGAAGAATGGCTATCAAGAGAACCTGTCACTTTAATTTCAGGAAATATCACTGTTCGGAATGGCCAAGCATTCTTCATTTATTTAATATGTCCAAATAAGTAAGTATTGTTATTTATAATGGTGGTCTATTGGTTTCCTATTATGCACCTACACAACTTACAATGCGTTAGTCCCCTTATTAATATTTGTTTATAAGACTCTTGTCTGAAAACCTACTACAACAGATGGGATAGATGGAAAAAGAGAATGGTTCTAATTGGAACCATTGTGTTCCTAATGTTTCTACTAACTCCTACTGCCATACAGCACTGTGTTGTGAATGCAATTTTAGTAAAGAATGGACATTAGTTTTAATGATGGCTTATTGCTACTACAGTTTTCTTCTAGCGTTTTTTGACTTAGGTATATAAAATTTAGGCTATTTTCAGATATTTCACTTTGATAGAGGTTTGTAGGAAACATAATATTGACCTTCTTATTTTCAGTCAAAATCACTCAGAGAAAAATGGCTGATGCAAGGAGTACCAGTTGGCTCATTGGAAGAGGAAGAGGCAAGAAAGAGGCAATGTGAGGAGGATGAGCAGAAATTAAAGCTATTTGAAGAAAATGTCCAAAGGTAAGATGCAGTCTATAGTTTCCTTTAGTGTAATGCTAGTTTGTAGTTGTAACTTACAACCAATGAATGTGTGGACAAAAACCTTGCATTAGATTGTATGTAAATCCAAATTGTAAAATTGTTTAAATTGCTCAGTTATGCCATGTAAATGTAGATTGTTGCTGTTATTAAATATATAATAAATACCTGTTTATTCTTTCAGTTTCTGCTCTCTCTGAGGCCTTCCTGTGATAGGGTGAATAATGCTGTGCCAGTGTAGTCACCCTACCATGTGTGTCCCAGAGTTGGGACTACAGAACATTGTGCCTATACACAGTGTGTCTTGAAAGCCCCATGGTCATCCGCCTTATGTATCATGTATGCTTCCTGCTGAAGGCTATAGAGGGTGTATGAAATAGCCCACACGTTCCACCTTCAGCAGTGGTAACAGGTGACTTGATGCCCCGAAGCCAGCACTAATGTCACAAGCACTCATAACTCTCTGTAGCCTCAGGCAAGCCGTGGTCCTGGTGGCAGGAACATAGTGTCATGTGTCCACTAATAAAATCAGAGAAAAACGTATTTATTTATGATTTTTTTTTGTACAGAAATGAGACTCAGTGGTCTTTTAATAAAGCAATGGTATGGTCTTACTGTAGCGGGAGCTCCTCACATTTATAAACCACAACAGTGTGTTTAACAAATGTGTATTGGGCTCTGCTTGCTCCTGGAATACAAAACAAATGGAGTGCAATTAAAATGAATAAAGGGAGGACAGAGAATAAAAAGTCTGGAGGAGAGCCTGGTCAAATGACCTGTCAAAGTTGCATGACTGACCTATCCAGTCATCGAATTCTTGCAGCTGGATTAAGCAGAGATTTGTTTGACATATCACAAACTCAACACCATGGCCTGCAATGCACGAATGGGCCAAAGCTGTGAAGTAATACTGTGGACTATAGCAGAGAGTGGATGCTATAAATGGGCCCCCTTATTCTTTAGTAAATGCCTGCTGTAGAGCGTAGACTCTGACTGAATGAAAACAACAGGATCCACATTCTTCATATCCAACAGTTAATGAATATACAGTAAATGCTGCCTTACTAATGGAAATGATGACTGACAAAACATACAAACACATTTGTATCTGTCCCATCCTAAAATGAGGGATACACCTTTTGTTTAGCGGATTTGTGATGTAAGTGTTTTAAAACGACCAGAACACTATACAAAAAAAGAGACCTATATACCGACCAGACTCCTCTCCGATGCTAAGATGTCCACACTGAAACCAGCACTTCCAGGAGTGTCAATTTCCGTGGACCTCCACAGCTCTCACTGGTTCCTCCCACTGACCCCCACATCATTAATAAATCCTGTAATGGGTGGAGGTCACAGGGAGGAAACAGTGGGAGCCATGGGGGAGCCAGGAAATTGACACTGTCAGAAGCATTGGTTTTAGTGTAGACTTCAGCAGAAGATATCTCAGCTTTGGAGAGCAGTTACTTCTTTTGTATAGTGACAGTGTAAGACAATGTTGTCATGTTAGTGGAGGACACTATTGTCTGCCATCTGAGCCATAACTTACTAGGAGTATGTATACCCTTATTATGTTTTTGTGGATTTCTTCTGGGTGATCTATATCCATTCCAAAAAAGACTAACGTATTGGAAAACTTCCATCTCAATTAGACTTGGTATTTCTTTGTTTATATATGACTGTGGTAGACACATTAGATTTGGAGAAGGGACTAATATAAGTAATTTGCATACTCTGTAAAACACTGCAAAACTCTTTTTATTTGGCTCACCACACAATAACTGGCTTTGTTATATCTATATGTATTATTTGGTTTATAGAAGTTCATTATTTCTGTTCCTTTCTTTGGGGGTGGGGGGAGGTTTAAAATATCTCAAGCTTCTTTTACCTAGTCTGTGTCCATGTAAAGGAAACCCAATCATTTTTTGTCCTGTGATCACTGTCACTAGGATAGAAGTAGAAAAAAATCCATAATTTTATGGTTGCCATCAGAACAGTAAAGCGTATAACTTTCAATAGGGATATCTATTTCAGTGAGAATGATCAAAGGTTTGGTTTCCACTGAAGTTATTTTTTTACATTTCTTCCTTTTTATTGTCACAGTGGTGCAACTCTATTCCAATCGCCCTTTCTCCAGCAGCCAGCTGAAGATGTGGACCACTGCATTCTGTATTGGAGTAGTTTGTATCTTGCGAGTGGAGATGGAATTAGTGCTGGATCAATTACTGAAGATAATTGGCTCTTAGCAATACCACATTTGTTATTTGCCACGGCAATCCTTTTTTCAGTAGTTGAATCATCAGCTCTCAATACTACAACTAATAATCCTTATAAAAATAACAGTCATCATAGATTAGTAAGATGGATCTAAAAATCTCAAAGCTGAACTCTAGTTAAATAATAAAACATTATCATAAATTCAGGGATGAATCCATTCAAAATCATGAAATGTATTTTTAAAACTAATTGAAATATTCACTTGAATCTATTTTTATATCAGCTTCTTCTATTCCCCTGTTGTAGATATAATAGTTTACATATATGTATTTTTGGTGTTTATTTAGTTGCTTGACTGATACCCCCTTCCATTAGTGTTCCCCATCAGAGCGCCAACTTCCATTAGGGTTCCGTATCAGAGCGCCCCCTTATATTAGTGTTCCCCATCAAAGCACCCTAGATTAGTTGTCCCCATCAGAACACCCCCTTACATTAGTGTTCCCTATCAGAGCACACTCCTTACATTAGTGTTCCCCATCAGGGTGCCCCCTTACATTAGTGTTCTCCATCAGAGCACCCTCTTACTTTAGTTTTCCCATCCAAGTGCCCCCTTACATTAGTGGTTTCCATCAGAGTGCCCCCTTACATTAGTAACCAATGTAAGGGGGTACTCAGATGAGGACAACTAATAGTCACTTTGGCTGATGAAGGAACCTCATGGGGTTTGCCTGATGAAGGAACCTCATGCGGTTCCTAAATGTTGCTTCTCATTGTGATGCTCTGATCAATCAATCAATTGATCAATGCCAATAAAAGATGGTAATCTGAGTAACTCAAACAAACACACATACACACAACCACATAGGTTGAACTCGATGGACTGTGTCTTTTATTCAACCTTAACAACTATTTAACTATGGATCGATAAAGTGGAAACTGATGTTCTGGTGACTTCCCCTCTTTGTTCTTCGGTTCTATGCGGCTCTGTCCACAGTCACTGCAGTACCCACCCGAGGAATACACGGTTATATACTGTATTGGTCAGGAGTGTGATAGGACATGTATGTGGTTGCTAGGAATGGCAGCAGTCCTAGCAACCAATGAGTGCAGAGGAGGGAACATTGGACACCATTGGTTGTTAGGAGGCGATAGGTCCTAGCAACCAATAACTGAAGAGGAGGGGGGACCTGTGCTGGGTTATAACTGGCAGTGGATGCACCAGCCTTGGAGGTAGGAGTAAGAGACAACCTTGTTAGGTCTATAAATATGAACTGTATTCTCTGTTCGAATTTAAACTGTATGTAACAGGCAGGCAGTAGAGGGACAGATGAAAAAGAGTATCAGTTGAGAGGTAGGTAAGCTGAATAGCTCAGACGTTCAGGATGGATTGTAGAAGGGCCTATCTGTTCACAGGAGGGACCACAGAAGCCTTACTTCCACAGAGGATTAAAGTAGGGATGTAATGGGGGCACACACTAAAACTTTAACATGTCTTTGTGAGCAATTAGCAGATGAGGGAAATGTTCTAGGTTGAAAATATAGGGAGGTGATTAGTGGTTGAATGTGAGGTTTAAGTGAAATACCATAAACAAAAGGTTATTCCTTAGCAATGAGCAAGTTTAGCTGAGATTATTGGGAAGTTATCAACATATTTCAGGCAAGGAAGCAGACAGAGATGCTCTGGAAAAAACAGCTTTAGTTTAATCTATATTGTTTATGGAAAGTGAGAGGCCATTAAAGATGAGATAAGACTGTCTAGTACACAAGATACGCAAGGAAGTGTGATTAAAAGCTGAGATATAAATCAGAGTATAGTTGAAATAGTTTGCTCTGCACCAAGACATAGGTGAAGATAAATAAATGTATTTGTGTTAATCTGCAGTTATGTACGTGTGTGAGCATATGTATACTGTACATGCATGCGTTTGCATGTTTTTATGTACAGTGTGTACCTGTGTATGAATGCCTATTTATAGTTAATTGTTTGTTTGGTTATAGTAATCTGTGTAAATTAACTTGTGATAGGTGCTGGGTTCAAGCTGATTTGAACATTTCCAACAAACCTTAGGCTCAATAAAGGTGTAATTACTGTAATATTATATACTACATAGGAAAAGAAATTTGATGAATTATGTTTTCTGTCAGTGTGTTGTTGAAGGACCAAGAGGAAACATATATTTTAAATGGGATCTGTGGATTGATGAATCGGTAGAAAAAATACATTTCCGTCAAGGGAGACTAGACTGAAAATGTTAACATAAGTTTGTTTTGTTGAATTATGTCACTGTAGAATCTCATTAATCATCCCTCTGTATGTGTGTTTGTATGAGTATGTATGCAAAAGCATGTATATATGTATTAATGTATGAATATTTTCATTTAGTTTTAAAATACTAGGTCAGAGATGTCTGAGCACCACTAGCTTATACTGTCACATAGCACTGGATGGAGCATTGCCAAGCTGCAAAGTGCTATTACATTTCATATAATAGTGCTCTAGCACAATAAATAACCATTATAAACTCATCAAGTTGGTCTGCTGCTGAATGATATGTTTTACTATTAAGAAATATGATAGCATCAATTTTAATTAAGACCTTTTGGACCACATTCCTGGGTGACTAATGTATTTTTAGCATTTCCATAGCACTGACGTTGACAATTACCAATTATTATTTGTAAACTTAAAGCTGACCTGTCAGATTTACAAAGTATTTAAATTTGCAAAGATGGCAGTGCAGGTACCAGTACCTGTGTTTATTTTC